TATTTTATTGTGCTATTTTTTAGGTTGTTTCATAACATCAGCATTATAAAACTGTGATTGGGATTTCCTTAGAGTAATGTAGCAATATATTGTAAAGTGCAATCCAGAAACATGACTTACATTCTGATTAAACAACAACTTGTTGTACCAAACCTTTCTTAAAAAGCCCCTTGGAATGTATTTTTATTACTTCTGAGACTCTTTTAAATCCTGCTGGTAATTTTGTTTTTCTTCATAGCTCTTTTAAATGTAATCAAAGAGGATTTTTGCTTTTGTTGAAGTGTCGCAAACTAGCACCAGGTAAAAACCTGACTATATCCAAAAATGATGCACAATAGCTGTCTAGTTTCAAAGTGAAGCTGAACGGGACAAGTTTGGTTTTTTTTTAGTTCCCCCAATGAAAACATTGATTCTTATTAGTAAGGACAGTCAGCTATAGTATGCTCACATCCTGATCTTTTTTCTCGTTGTTTGTTCAGCTAAATAATGTCTTCAAATTTGCACATTAAAATTAGGTTTACCTTTGAAGGGTGAAATTATATGTAAGAAAGAAACATCAAACATTCAGCTGTGTCTACTAATCATTAAGGGTGCAGTCTTTGCATGTAATTCTGCATAGGGGAGAGATGCTGTGTTACTGCAAACTGTCACTGCCCTGGGACTTGGGATTTTCAATTGACAGAGGATCTTGAGAGAGAAATTAGCCTCTTAAGTTTGAGTTGTTAAAAATTTGTTGGCTTTTTCTTTCTAGCATCAATGCCTGGTAATTGTTTCTCTCTCGATTTTGTGGTTTTGGTTTTTTGTTTTTTTTTTCGTGAATGTAGACAACAGTCTAAACCTTTTTCAGGAATTGTCAGGTATTTTCTGGTACAGTACAGAAGAGACATTTCTGCTGTTGACAGTAGAACATTTAATGAGTAGCATTTGAAGTCCAGTAATTTTGTCAAAACCGTATTGCAGCAATTGCAATTGACTGCAGATTGTGAAGCCATATTTTAGGACAAGATCTTTTTTATTGTCTTAAGTTGCCTGTGTTTTTTAACTTGTCTGCCCCTCCTCCTCCCTCAAATCCCCCCTCTTCTAGAAACAAAGACTTGTTTGTTCCTGCTCTGCCTGTGAGGTCTTTGCAGCCTCTGCTGTGTGGGTGCAGAGCCCCTTATTTAAATGCTTTCCATAGCCATGGAAGGTAAGGAACAGGACGCATTAGAAACTGGTAAGTCCTAGCTGATAGATAAAATGAAGCTCTTCGCCTTTGAATTTGAAGTGCTTGAAAAGAGCTGTGCATGATCATTACAATGATGTGCTGATCATTACAAATGCATGAGGTATAGAAAAAAAATAAAATCTTCTATCTGATAAGCATCTTCTTTAGAGTGCAGATTTCTGCCATCATGTCCTGGTAAGTAATGGGGAATAGGAATGTAAAAAGAAAAAAAATAAAAACTCACCCACAAAACAAGCAAGCAAAAAAAATCAACCCCAAAGCAACAACAAAAAACTTTAAAACCCTTTGTTTTTTCCTGTCACTTGAAACAAGATGTGTTTCCCTCCCTCTTTTCACTAAATATTGTGTTGGAAATTATAGATAATTACATTCTTCTTTGAGTTTCCCTTAAAGATAACACACTTGTGTAATCACCAAGGTGTATGAAAATAATCAATACTATTTTTGTGGTTTTTTCACTGGTTCTTCATTTGGATATATTAAGTCAGTAAAATTCAGTTAGCAGCATCTTCTAATATCCTAACTTAGCTTAATTTCATGGTTAAAAAGAATTTGCTCATATAAAAACATCTCTATGATCTGTTCTATGGACAGTTAAAAATCTTATTATTTGAAGTCTTTTGCATTTTCTTTCTTGAAATAATAAAATGTTCAGAAACATCCTTTTAATTTTAACCAAAATTTGTGAATAATAATAATTATAATTTAGAAACTGGAATTTTAGCTTCAGTTTCCAAATAGTTACTAAATCATATCATTAAGTTATCTCCTAATATTTATTGATGAATTTTAAGTATACACCAAAGTCTTTGTATCTTGTGATACTCCTGCTTTAGATATTCTTTTAGTTAGAAATATGACTTTCAAAATTAACATTAGAGGACATTTTGGGGATCTAGGATGAGGGAATAAAGTGAAAAATATCAGAGAAACATGATTTCTTTCTTAAAGTTAAAATTGCAAAGTCAGTAGATGAGAAGAATGGAGCAAACAGTGGTCAGAGAGAACAGAAATATGCAAGCAGCTGTCAGAAAGACACACATACATAAAATAAAAAGAGCAGAAAGTGGCAGAGCAGGAAATGCAAAGCTGCCTATTTGTGGAGAAGTGATACTTGTATGGTGCATGCAGGAAAAACAAATTCATAACATGTTGAAGGAATGTTAGTGATACTGGACTGAGGTGTTTAACTAAGGTTAGACACTATTAAATTTTTATGAGGTTATCTGTAACATGACTTGCCTGTGAACTTCATTGAGGTAGGACACTGAAACCATGATTCATGGGAAAACTGGGGAGTAGACTATAAATGGAGCCTTTTTAACCAGAAGAAAACCAGAAGAAAATTTACATTTTTCAGCTTTGGATACTTTAATTTTACAAGCTAGTTTGCTTTTAACTTAGATGTGCTCATTTCGGGTGATTGTAATTTTCTAATTTTTCTCCCTCTTGACTTTAAACTGTAATTGACCTTCCATCTTGTTTAATAGCAGGGTATGGATCCTGGAACTTCTAAGGCGTAGCACAGACTTTGGATAGGGTTGCAGAATTAACTAAGCAGAAGGCTGTTTTCTGTTGTCCCCTACTAATCCCTTCATTTCTGCTTATAAGGTGAAAGAGAGTAAGATATATGGAGCAAAAGGCATGGTCCTGGTTCCAGATTTGGAGAGAAAGGAGATCTGTTCCCCATTCTAGCATTGTCATGTCTAGCTTGTCTAAAACTGTAAAAAAAAAGCCTTGATATACAAAGGTTGTCTAATTGCTGTCAAGCTTCCAGCAGATATTGTCCATTGGAGCTCCTGGTCCTTGTAGTTAAATATTGGCTGTCCACGTCCTTACAGGACTGCTGTTAGAACTTCTGCTTACCAGTTTCTAGTGTCTTGGGGCCAGTCTTCCTGTTGCTGGCCCAGAGACCACAGCTAATGTGGCAGATCTGGTTAATTGGCTCACTCTGGTCATCTTCTGTCCTGAAGTTCAGTTCTGATGGTGAAGTGGTGCTAGATGTCTTGTAACATCAACTGCTTGATCCAAAGGAATGTCATTTTCCCACTAATTTTTTTCATCCTGGGTCAGGATGAGACTTGTAGGTTAGAGCTGAATTTCAGCCCTAGTAGTCTCTGCTTGGTACTGGGATCCAGTTTCTATTCCTACTTCACAGGTTCACTTACCTTACAGGAAGTTTTATCATATTAGCAATCATATGTATGAAGCTCTTTAACAAGTAACTGCATGAAATACTATTTCAAATCACTTTAGGCTATTTGACAACATTTTGTGTTTTGGACTCATGAAAATGACCGTTCTGCCCATTAGACTGTTAAGTCTGTGCTGGGTCAGTGGATTAGTTGAAAGGGTTGACTGCAGTTTGGTTTCTAACTAGTTTAGTATTATGTGATAAATATACGTTGGCTTTCTTGGAACAGAAGAACAGCACTACTGTACCTTAAATTGAACACTCAAAAGACAGTGCAGACTGAAGGGCTTTTCAGTGAAAAGATGGTACAGATTTTTTTTTGTGAGAGAGTTCTCCTTTCTTATGGTAGTTAGAAATGTTAGTATTTCAGGATTCCTCTATAGGATGAAAACATTAGTTCAGACTAATTCTACAGATGTTTTTTTTTTTTGCCCCACTTCACCCTGTCATCCTAAAAGAAGCTCTCTTTTTTTTTCCTTGGTTTCTATAAACCATAATCCCCCCTTCCCAGAAAAAAAAAAAAAAATCCCTGCCATTCTCCCATCACTGCTTCAGCAAATACAATCTGCAGAGTACTGTGACTGTTAACAGATTCAGTCTGTTTCAGAGAACAAGATGGAGAGCTAATTCTAAACTGAAAGCTCCTGGAAACAGTGTCCTTGTAATACAGTCAGCCTTTCCCACTCTCTCTTTCATTCTAGGAACTCTAGTGCCTGTGTTGACTTTAACCATATTGGTGTCATGTGAGGGAGAAATCAGGCCTGTCACATAGGTGCATCCCAGTCATGTATTATTGTATAAAATAAAATTGTCTTAGGCCTTGCCTTTATAGGGGAAGAGGGGGGTTCTCATTGTGCATTATGCTTACAAGGTTACATTTTGTCTTCTCCACTCCCCAGGAAAAATACAATTCATAGTTCTGAGGGGTAAAAGAAAATGAAGCACTAGCAAAATGTTTCCTATGTTGATATCAGTATTTATGGCTGTATAATTTATCTGCCATTTCTGTACCAACTCTAATTTTGCCTGTCAAGAAGCTCTAAATGAAGCCTCTAACACTAAAATCTTGATGTGACAAGGATGTGAATGCTGGTTGCATGACCTTGCACCACAATGTGTAGCTTTTAATTGTTTTCAGTAAAAGTGAAATGATCCATTTTGTCATTCTGTGTGTTTTCAAGTTAAATGAACCTAAGATTTCACATGAATAAAACAAGTTATTTATTATTTGTGTCTGCAGTGAGAATAGTTTATTAGAAAGAAGAGAGATTCTCCTAATTCAACTTGAAATATTTTACTACCACTTTTGAATTTTTCACCAGTTAGCGCATTAAACTGTTTTCAGCAGCTTTTAGAACAAGTATGTAGTCTTAACCATTAGACTGTTGCATTAATTTTACACCCATCTATTGCTCACCATGAGCATACATTTCACACTTCGAACATCAGTGTAACTGCATGTTTCTTACAGTCATGCCTTGTAATTTTGTAGATTTTTTTCATACCTTTCATGGATAATACTTTCCTTCCATGTGTTTGTTTGAATTTATTTTTTAAGTGTTTATTGTTTTGGTTCCTTAGCCATGAATCAGCGAATCAGCCAAAGTGCTCCAGTCAAACAGCCACCTCCTCTGGCTCCTCAGAGTCCCCAGGGTGGTGTGATGGGAGGGAGTAGCTCCAATCAACAGCAACAGATGAGACTTCAGCAGCTACAGATGGAGAAAGAAAGGCTGAGACTGAAGCATCAAGAACTGCTTCGGCAGGTGAGGCCACAGGTTAGACACCTACTTCCACTATTTCTTCTGTATGTTATGTTTTGATTTTTCTAAGTTGTTGTTTCAGTGAGTCTTAAAGACCAGTGACTGTACAAAAAGCTTTGCATTCTAAATAGGTCTGAATTCATTCTCTTATTTATATCAGCTTGGTGGTGAAAGTACCTGATTTTTTAGACTCAAGGATTTTGCTTTCCTCCCTCTAAAAAAACTCTTGAAGAGAAAGCTTTACAAACTATAAGGATGACAGCATGGACTGTTGATGTGATTGGATATTCCTCCTGAGAATATAGTTCATATTCATTGAGTTCCAAGTCATGTAAAAAGTTATTTCCCACAGCTACTTTAGTTTTCCCTTTTACGTGGAGGAAAGTCTTCAGTTTTAGGACATGTTGCAGTCTGTAGGATATTGAAGTATTTTTAAAGTTTATATAAGATACATTGAGGAGATGCCAAAATCTTACCTTTTCAACGGTGGAGTGAGCATGGAACAACTGAATAACTTGTGCTGCATTTTGAACCGGTGGTTTTCTTATGCTGAAGAATTTCAAACTTCATAATAAGGCTGCAAGCTATGCCTTTCAGTATTTTCTACTATATGGATGTGGCTGTATTATCCACTATATGGATATGGCTGTAGCAAATACTAAAGTGTAGGGCTGGACTTTGCAATCTCTGGATTGGAATTCGGGCTTGATCTCCTTTTGTCTAAGCCTTCTGCTTCAATTGTTCAATCTGAATGTTTTAAGAGTTACTACCATCTGTGCTAGATACTTAAGATATTTCTTTGGGTTTTTGACACTGCCAGAAAAAGCACTAATCTTTTCTTTGAGGAAAACCTTCTAAAATCTTTCCCTTTTCACTTTGGGTGATGGGCCTTGTATCAGAAGAGGATAATATCTTAAAGTCCTCAAAGACAGCTTTTTTCTTTCTTCATCACCTGCAGTATTCTGTCCTGGAATCTGATTCCCGTTATCCCCTTTGTAGTCAAGGACTGTTTTGTAGAAATCTTCAGCATCTCTTGGTGTTAGATGGGTCATCTTTACAGCCATTACTTTTTGTGGTACTCTAGGTAAGAATATATTGCAAAGGTGGCATCAGGACTTTCTCTCTGCTTAAGCACCTGGGCTTCTGCTGTTCCTGCTTTGCAATTAATCCACAAACAGACATTTTACCCTATGCTAGCATGCTTCTAGGTAGGCCTTCTAATTGTCTTCTTGCCTCAGTTGTCATTGAGAACCTGACTAACTTTGGAGCAGGTGGCAACCAGTTCTCTTCATGTTGTTCCCCTTAGTCATTAAGCTTATCTGTCAAATACGCATCCTTGGTAAATCTCTGAGTTTTGTTTCACTGTGTCATGATTTTCACAGTTTCTTAACTCCCTTATCCTGTCTCATCTGGCCTGTCTCGGGGGCTTGATACTAGAAGATGGTGTTTATAAGACAGCCTGCATAGTAAACCATGCAGCTAAAGTAATTTTTATCCATCTTATTTTTACTCTTAGGCATTGCGGAATATCAATCCCAGCACAGCAAATTCTCCAAAACATCAGGTAGGCTCTTAACTGATGTTTCAGCATAATTAGAAAAATGAAAGCATTAAATTAGGCTAGCAGGGAACTTTCTGCTACATGAAAACATTCTAAAAAAGAAAAAAAAAACAAGCTCTGCCATGCACATTTTTGAGTCACTTTTCTGGTCACGGCCCTAACACTGTTTTTAGGAGTGCTGCATTACCACAACTTTATATCAATATTTAAGAGCAAATGAGGAATTCATTGCACATTTTTTTACATTGAAAACAACCTTCTTGTTCAGCATTCTTGAGGATACTGCTGTTCCAGTCCTGATGTCATCAAGATGTTTATTTAAAGCAAGCTATCTAAGGTAGTAGTTGGTGACTTTTAAGTACTGTTTGTATGAATGTTCTTATCAGTTTGTTTAAGCAGGTATGATCTTAGAGAAGGATATCTGTTATCATTTAATGAAAAGTCACTTGAAATAGTTATGATTTTTAAACATGCATAGTATAACAGAATTACTTAGTAGATTAGACTAACAAAATAATTGCTATGCAGATATGATTTTCCCATTTTGACATTTAACTGGCTCTTGCACAGATACATTTTCTGTATAGGAAACAACAGGTATGAAAAGCCTTTCAAGTTCAGACCAAAATAAAATTGTTCAAAATGTGAAGCAAAGTTAATAGTTTAATGTGGTCTTCTCTTAGTCTCTAAAGAAGTTGAATAGAGAATGAATTTCTGGAAGGGTGAATTTATGGATCTATTGAGAGAACTTCATGTTTACTATTGCTAACAGTATTTGAATCTACCAGTTCTTAGTACAATATTTATATTGGCTTGTACTGTACTTTGTTTTTTAAGAAAAACCTCTGTATGCACTAGGCAAGAAAACCAGAATAAAAGAAAGTATCCTCTGTTTGGAAGCTATGAGTACTGGTGTACTGTTACATTCTGAAGAGTACCAGAAAATTTATGTTACTAGTTCTGAAGAACAGAGACCTTAGTGCTGACACCATGGAAAAAATACATTCTTGTTTGGCAATACCAGAGCAGCTCTTAAACAGAAGCATTTTAATTGAGATGTAGTAATTTGATTAATTTACAAAGTATTAGCTGCATAATGATCTTATCAATCAATATTAGATCCTATTCTGGAGGAGAAAAAAGAGTCCTCAAGAATTGTGGGTATACAAGAGAATAAATGAAGGACGACGACTCCACACCAGTTGAAAACACCGTATCTTCTGTCATAATTAGGTCATTCATAGGGGTTGTTTTTCTTATGGTATGCCAAAAGTATATTCTTTTTTCTTCTATGCCTGAATCCCAGTCATACCATTGTTCACTCTTCCACCAATTTCTTCCTGTTGCCAGCTAAAAAAAAATACAAGAAATGGAGAAGTTTGTTATCAGTTTCATACTTAAATCTCTAAGACGAGGTCTTTGGAACTTCTTGAAATTATGGCTTTAAATCCTAAAAAACTGCAAAAACTCAAAGGGACTATACTGATAATTCATTAAATATATATGTAGTGGTCACTCTGCTTTATTTGGAGTGGGAAATGATGAAAGGATTCATACAAAAATCAGGATTCCATTTGTATTAAACTTGCTTCCTACCATCCCCTGCCTGGGATCAGTTTTATTAGTCTGCACTTGCTAATGAGTCAAGGTGTGTGTGAGTGATCTGTTGGGTAGAAGAATGGGCAATCATCAATTTAAAGTTCTGTAATACTAGACTGTTTGTGTTGTACCATCTAAATATATTTTTTGTGTTTTCATATCACCTCAGTAATGTAATGATCAGCCACAGGTGGAAGAAAGTGCTTAGAGAACTGCTTCTGGGTTCTGGCTCTCTAAATGCTCCTTGAGGCCTTGTACTGTAGAGCCAAATGTAGTCTATCTTCTCTGATGATGCTGCTGTTGAAGTCCCAGTCTGTGCATCTGATCAGTCACAGCTGACCTAGTGAATCTGGAAGACGTATAGAAAGAATAAAAATTTCTTTGTTCAACTTTTTCTTTTCTGACAGGTCTTTCTTTCTTTTTGAATAAAATTAACAAAGTTTGGAGGAATTATCTGCTCTCCTGATGATAAAGCTGTGCTTGGTGGCAGAGTAATTGCTTCTCTTGCTAAATTTTAGATGTTCTTTTAAGGAATACTAAAAATTAAATCTTCCTATGTTCAGTGTTCTTAATTCTGGTAAGGCTAAGTCTGTTTTAGAGAGTGATTGCCAACATCTTCCATTTGTAACGAAATTATGTAACACTGTCATTCTTGAAACTTGCCTCTAATGAAATCTCTTGTATAGATGGATTAAAAACATCTGAGAAATGTTCCTTAAGTTTTAACTGACTCTCTGAGCTTTTCATGTCAGACAATCACTAGGTTAGAAGGGACTGGTGAAGGTCATCTAGCCCAGCATCCTCATCCTACCTGACATTTTTCCCCATGTAGCCTGGATAAAGTACTGTGGTTGGATTGATATCTACGGTCAGGTTTTTTTGGTGCTGGGTAACTGTAGTGTCCCTGCCAGGTTTTTGTCTCTCTGACATGATACTGTAGTATCCTGTGGTGACACTAACACTCCCAAGTGTTACATATGGAAGCTTTAGCACCTTCTGGAAAGAGTAATTGCTCAGCTCCATTTTTTGTAGCAAGGACTGTAAGAGACTCTTCTTGTTTGAGGATGTATTTTACTGAAATTCTAAAAATGTCAAAGGTTCTATAACTTTCAGACTTACTATGTATCAGCAGGAACTGTTGATACATTCAGGAAATTTAAAAACACCAAGCATCTGTTCAGTCACTTGTGCTCATCATAAACAGTTATTTGTGAAACCTTAAAGATGCCTATCTGTCTTAGTAAAGAGACTGAATGACTTGACTTTCACTCCATCCCACTAGCTCTCTTTCGATTTTCCTGCAGTTAGCATCTGATTGTCAACAATTGTCCATCAAGTTCTGAATATGCTGCAAAATTGAGCAGATGTTAAGTAACAAATTCTTCCCTTACAGTGTGCTGTGGAAAGAAATAGAGGCAAATAATGTTGAGGTACTGATGGCATTATTCTTGGATGTTGTGCAGACTATTTTCTTGTCCTGAGAATGGAATATTTCCTATTTATCTGCTGCTAATATTAGAGTATTTGCTAGTAAGGTCAGCATACTACACATTTATAAGACTAGTTCCTCTTTATATGCTTGCTCATTCTGTATCTGCTGCTTGTTTCTAGCTTGCTTCTAAGCTTTACAGATCAACAAAATAATTGTGTTGCTTGCTCATGTCTGTAGATCTGTATGGATAAATACCTTGTTTAAAAGTCTGTGTAGTAAATCAGAACTGCATTCACTGGCAGTGCTGGTTGTTGTGATTGAAGAAATGAATGGATTGTTTCCTGCTTTAGTCCTCACAAATTGCCCAACTCCTCATCGCTGAGTTCATTTGTCTTCCATCTGTCCACATGTCTTCCCTGTCTCTTTTGTATATATGCTGTAACTTTCTGGCCCTCACAAGAATGCAAACACCTAATCTGAAGAAGCAACTGGTGCTGTAAATCTGCCCAGAAGTGTTGTGATCTTCTCTTTCCCCTACAACTTCTTTCCCATCCCAGGAATGCTGGTGGATCATTTGAAGGTCCACATGGTTGGATGGTTGGGGACAGAAAAGTTACAACTGGCACTTTCAAAGTAAATTTTCAAAACCAGTTATCAGGATATATCAAGCCAAATTGAGTAGCATATCATGGGTTTAATACAGTAAGAATATGAGTGAGTGCAAATCATCTGCATTTCCTCAAAAGCCAGTGAAGATAAAAATGCTCTGAAAAGGATAGTTTTATAAAGTTAATTTGAACATGGTGTGAATGACCTGTAACTTCATGTAAAACTTAATCTGTATGGAATTATGAAAAAAGAATATAGATTAGGTCAGCCAGATAATTTACATAATGTTGACCTTATTTTTAAAATTATTTAAGGACATGACAGATCATTTTGGTCTCTGTGTAATAACCAAAATTCAGCTTTTTGCTAACAATAGGAATACTAAGCTTTTTTTCCCCAGAAGTACTTAAAACAAGTTTAACATATTTAAAAAATAGGATGAGATTAATTCATAGAAATCTAAGCCAGGATTTTGTCATAGGTTTTTTTTTTGCTTCCAGACTTTAAATATGCCTAATAAAGCATATATTTTAAAACATGAATTGAAAGCCTAGAGTTCATATTGCCCTGTTTGGAGCTGGGAGAGACTTGGACACTCCCATGCATTTTTTCAATAGAAAACATACAACTTTTCTTTTTTTTTTTTTTTTTTTTTTTTTTCTTTTTTCA